TAGTTGCATTCTTCATATTAAAAGTGCTGTATTTCTTTGGGCAAAAACCAAAACCTGAAAGTATTTCCATCTTCAGATTTCATCGAAAGCAAAATAAAAAAATTGTGAAACATTTTCACTTTCAATAAAAGACCATTTTCAACCCCTCCCTCCCGCCCCAAATCATTTGTTAGTCCCTGATCAAAGAAGAGACAAAGCAAGGGATTTGGTCCTAACCACAGAGAACAATATTGCTGCAATAAACTGATGGACGACTACTTTCCTCCAGGGTCTTAAGCTCTGTGTAAAGACACAGAAGATAAATTTGCAAATTAATTAGAATAAATATTTTTTTTCAGCAGTATAAATCTTTAAACTTTGTATTACAAATTTAGAAATACTTCTCACTCTAAATAGTACTTAGCACTCAGAGTTGCTTTATAATTTTAAAGCGTTGTACACGCAGTAAATACAGGGGTGGTTCCAGGCATCAGCGCAGCAAGCGCGTGTCTGGGATGGCAAGCCGTGGGGAGCAGCCTGCCAGTTGCTGTGAGGGCGGCCATCAGGCTGCCTTTGGCGGCATGCCTGCAGGAGGTCCGCCGGTCCTGTGGCTTCAGCGGTAATTCAGCAGCGGGGTCGCTGAAGGCACGGCACCGATGGACCTCCCGCTGGCATACCGCCGTATCTGCGTGGCCAGCGGACCACCCGCAGGCATGCCGCCAAAAACCGCCTGACTGCTACGCTTGGGGCGGCAAAAACCATAGAGCCGCCCCTGAGTAAATAATCCTGTCACTTGATTAAAATAGTTAACGGTAAACACAAAATGTTCCAAGTGGGGTGGAGGCACTGATTGGAAATAACTGATTATCTGAATGCCAGAGCATGCCTGAATTAAAGCTGAGTTTTGCTATGAATAACAATGGCATCGTAATGGTTCCTATTTAATAATTGGTATTTCTCAGTACCGTGGTAATTAGCTAATATTTGTAAAGTGCTCTGCTGCAAACCACTAAGTACTGCTGATTTGTTATTACAATGTGAAATATAATGGGTGCAGATATACACCTAAGTGGTCAAATTAAAAACTGGCACTTGCTATCAAAGTGGAAAAAAGAACATAAGGTTGGTAGAAATTAAAGAACTAAATATAGAGAGAGTGAGTGAGCATCTTAGAACTCAGGGGTGCTGAATGGACACTTAGGAGAAAATTCCTTATGGTTCTTACATGAGAGATCACCCAGTGCTCTGGCTAGAAGTGCAGTAGAAGCTTTTGGTGTTTGCTAGTGGTGTGATTTTTTTTTTTAAACAACATTTCTATAGTGGCGAACTCTACTGATGTAGACGCAGTTATACTAATGTATGTGTTTTTGCCAGTATAGCTTATTTTGCTTGGGCATTAGTATAAGCTATACCAGCAAAAAAACTTTTTTGACAGTATAAGTTGCATCTACACTGGGAGGGTTTGCTGGTATAGTCTGTAACATATAACTGGGAATAAGATTGAGGGCTAAACCGGAAAAAGTATTGTGGTAGAAAATTTAAACTGGACACACTGAAATGAAACAAATGGAAAATGAAAGTAATAGTACTTCGGCTCGGCCAATGGCAGGAGAGCTCAATTTAAACTTGTATAGAACCAGTGGCAGAAGATTTAACAAAGGTAGTGTTGTGTAATAGCACAAAATTAGGTATCAGGATAAATTGGTTCTAATCCCAACTCTGACAGACTCTCAGAATGATTTTATACAAGTAACACAACTGCTGTATCTCTCTTTCCCCATCTGTAAAAGCCTACCACTCACTATACCTCCCAGACATGGGTGTTGTGGGACTTAATCAGTCAACCTCTAGAGAAGCAGTTTGATATTGTTGAATGGAAGATGCTATGTAAAAAAATATTTATTTGTATTGTAGAAGTGCCTAGGAGCCCTGGTTATGGACCCAGTGTGCAAGGCACAGTATAAATACAAAATAAAAGGATTAAAGGATTAGAAAACATGCCTTAAAGTAACAGACTCCAGTAGCTCAGTCTATTTAGCTTAACAAAGAGAAGGTTAAGGGGTTATTTGATTGCAATCTGTATGTACCTAAATCTTTGGGGAACAAATATTTAACAATGGGCTCTTCAGTCTAGCAGAGAAAGGTATAACACCATTCAGGGGCTGGAAGTTGAAACTAGATAAATTCAGACCGGAAATAAAGCATACATTTTTAAAGGTGAGAGTAATTAATCAATAAGGCTACATTTTAGTCATGGGTATTTTTAGTAAAAGTCACGGACAGGTCAGGGGCAGTAAACAAAAATTCACAGCCCGTGACCTGTCCATAACTTTTAGTATATACCCCTGACTAAAAGTTGGTAGCAGGGTAGCCGGGGGGGAGGGGCGGGGGTGGCCTGTGGGTGTTGCAGGGGAGGGTTAGCGGGGCTGGGGCAAGCTCCCTACCCAGCTCCTGAGCTCCAGGTGCTGCCTCCACTCCGCCCCAAGCCCTGGTTCTGCAGCTCCCATTGGCTGGGAACTCCGGCCAATGGTAGCGGGGGGTGCCTGCCAGCAGAGGCAGCACGTGGAGCTAGGAGCTGAGGGAGGGGAGTTCCTGAGGCCCTTCTGGGGATCCCCCCAGGTAAGCACTGCCCTGCATCCTAATCCCCAGACCTGAGCGCCCGCCCCACCCAAACTCCTGCTGCTGAGGGACGGGGGGAGAGTGAGACTCCCCCAGCAGCAGGTGGTGCGACTGGCCCAGGGGCCCCAGGCCAGGAACACCAGCCGCTGCAGAAGTCAAGGAAGTCACAGAATCTGTGACTTCTGTGACCTCTTTGACAAACATGGAGCCTTATTAATCAATAGAACAACTTACCAAGGGTTATGATGGATTCTACATCGCTGACAATTTTTAAATTAAGATTGGATGTTTTTTTAAAAGACTTCTTCTAGGAGTTATTTGGGGAAGTTCTATGGCCTGTGTTATACAGGAGATCAGACTGGATGAAAACAATGGTTCCTTCTGGTCTTGGAATCTATGAGAAAGATGATCCCTGTCCCAAAAGTAATGTGTCTGAGGCAGAGCAGCTGCTCAAAAACCACACCCAAGAACCAGAAACAAGAAATTGCTCACCTAAACTTTATTGAAAATGGACTGACATAAATATTCTGTGACACAGGACTGAAAAGGTGATATATATATATAATACAAAGAGGTGTTCAAAAATTGCTTTAACTTAGATATACTGGGACTGTCAAGACTGCCCTTCGCTGGCTTTGCTGTGGAGTCTCTCCTGGGTATCTTGGAGGTTATGCACTGTGAGCTCTCAAACTGTAATGGAATGGCCACCTGAATTTTAACAAAGGTGTCTTTTCTCTGAATTGTTAATTCGTCATAGAAGATACGGGTCTGAACAAAACCAGAGTTTTAAATGGCCACATTAAAAATGCTTTACTCTTAGTTTTCACACTTCTGTGGTGTTATTTCACTAGTTCGCCTGTGATTATAGGCTTTCCACCACAGACAAGACTTAATTTCCAACATTTAAAAAAAAAAGGCAGAAAAATTAATCTTTAAAAAGCAAAGTTTCAGGTTCCCTTTATACATCATAAAAAATGAGACAAGCCCCATTTTTGTTTTTCCTTTTATGTAATGGCAAGCACTGGCTTTTGACTTCTTGCTACACTGATCATATTGGTTTTGTGATCTTACAGAAAGCCTCATTAATTTCTATCTACAGTTAAAGGTATTTTCTAGCACCTTCTGAATTAATGATGATGAGCATTTCCTTGTGCAGCCAGAGCCTTTCAACAAGGAGCCATCCCTCTTCTTAGGGTTTTCTCTGGGTCTGATTTAATTCCTCCCTTCTTAAGAAACTTGTGTCCCTCAAATCTTGCATGGTATTTCCAGTCTCACAAGCCCTTTTGTCTCAGTGCTAAAGGCTCTCACTCTAAAATGAGCCCCAAGCCACAAATGTTTGTAGCAGCTTTCACACTGAAACATTAGGGAGAGGTTCAGATCTGGGATTTTGGACTCTATTGTAAGCCTCCTATTGTTAAATCCTCTCTGCTGCTGCTCAGTCCTAAACTTTAAGATACTCTGAACAATTAAAAACAAAAGCACCAACAAGCGTCACCTATTTCTCATTAACCACTCTGAGATATTTTTTCCCCACTCAAAATTTCCTGGCTTTTTTTCATGCTTGCTTCAAAAGTCCCTTTATTATTTCCATTTGGTTTTACCCCACACTTCTATTGCCGTATCTGTTTAATGGAATCGTTAAACTATGGAATGTTTATTAGCTTAAACTATGAGTGGTTTATTAGCTCCATCTGCTGGGTGAAATTTTTGCCTTTTCTTTATCTGGAGAAAAAACCCTCACTAATGGAAGGAAATTGTTATTTTGATCATTGCTCGATTGTTTTTTTTCTCTCTAATCACTCTTAGTATTTCTACAGTATCCCCATATTTAATCTCTACACTTCAAAATATCTAAACATTTTTTCTTATGATGTCATATATATTTGCCTCTCTTTTAAATGAGTAAAGGATTCCCCCTAACCCACTTCACACTTTCCATTACTCTACTTTCCAGTAACATTCAAATATCGGGTACATACAATATGACCCACGCTAATTTTAAACAAAATACATTCTGATTGGGCTACTCTGCCTAAATCTATTTGTGGAATGCTCTTGTTTTTTGGGCTCCAGTTGCTTGTATCATTCAGATCTTTCAAATGCCAATGTTTCAAGTGCTGATATGCCGCAGAACTGTATATGTCAGGAATATTTTCCATTTGAATATTACATTTGGTGACAAAAGGCCTTATCCTGCAAATTTTACTTCTAGTAATAGTCTCTGCTTGTGTACAATAAACATGTTGACTTCACCCATGAATAAGGGTCACAGAATTGGGCCAATGCTTGGTCCCAGAATTCCCAAGCTGAAGTGGGCAGCATTCTAGATCACCATAATAAATCCTTTAACTTCCTCATATGCATGACCTCTGACATTTTGTCAAAGATCTGCTCTTCACTAAACTTGTGTGGACAAAGAATCTAGTCATGAGTTTCAGATAGTTGATGAGGAGTTTGCTGTCTACCTGGACCATTATATTCCATTTGTCACCACCATCCAACAGACTAGCATTCCATTTCAATATCAAACTGGAGTTTGAGAGATATGAAAAATGGTAGCAACTATTTCCAGGGAGGACCTAATAACAGACCCTCCAAGCTTCCATGTGATGGAACCATGAGGGTAGTTTGCCCATGATGGCTTCTAGCTCATGGAGACTTGCAGGCCATAGTTTTACTTTAAGGCTCAAGCCTCCAATCTCTGCAGATTAATTAAACTCTAGAAGTATTGCCCATATGAAAACTGAGAGCAGGCCTAACGGTCTGGAAATATTAGAAAAAAGTGAGTTTTTGTTACTTTGCCTGCCTGTTCTAATGACAAAATAGTAGAGATGGCTGTCTTCCCTGCCCGATGGTGAGACTGCACCATCCACTTTCACTGGATTCCCTGTGAATTCATCAAGTTTTAAGCTTCTTTTGGTCACCTACAAGACCCTTCACAACTTTGCCCCTCTTTGCTTTTCCTTTTCTGTCTCATAGCCCCCTGCCTCCTCCACTATGCCAATGCCTTGGCTGTCAGTTTGTCACTGTGCTTGTTACCATACTTCCTTCTCCTTCTTCAAATCCCGCCTCAAGAACCACTTCTGCTGTGGTGCCTACAAGAAATCATCCAACTAGTAAAAGTTTGGTTTTGTGTCAGGTGGGTTTAGATGATTGTAGGTACATTTAAAAAAAGAGAGCGAACCATGAATCTGTGCAATACCTATGTCCCACATGATCTTATTTTCACTACCCTTGTTCACTCTCATTCCTTTTTCTCCTCGTTTATCAGTCTCACTTTTTATATCTTGTTCTCTCACAAACATCACTGAAACTGCAATTAAAACTAGAGGCTAACATTACGGGTTGTGCATGTAGCAGCATGTTTTGTGAACTCAATTTAAAGTACAACTTTTTGGACAGATAGCTCATTGTTTTAAATCCCAGAATTCCTTTTTCCAAAGAGATCACTCCCTACAAAACGATTTAGTTTTTAGCCCCACCCTTCAAATGTCAGTTATCTAGCTCCCAGTTCAGAGAACCATCTGCAGAAACTCCGGGAACACAGGAAGAGAAGAATTTTCAAACCCTTGTGAAGCAAGAACAATATTTTAACTACAGTGGCTTGTTAAATCTTGTTTTGTCTAACGTTCGTGGCAGTGGGACTACACAAGGCAGTAAGTGACTTCTGCATTATCTAATGTTTCAGCTTTGCCCTCGTGTTTAATCATCCACAAAAGGCATTTATTGCCTCGTATACATCTCCATCAGGATTGTTATCCCTTTAAACAAACTGCATGTAATATGTGGAATGTACATTATTGAATTAGTTCTTTTTCCTTTTGGAAATGTCGGAAGAGAAAGCTGAGCTCCTTGGGCAATTGGTATTTCCGTTTGCATTTCCCCGCCACGTTTGTTGTGTTTGGCAGAACCTACAGTTTGAGGTTGTTTCACAGTTTTGTCATGAAGAAATACAGTCTCTTTAGAAAATGTTTGTGCATCAAAATCATTCCCAGAAGTTACTTGTAGTCCAGATAGTGCAAAACCCATATACTGTTTCCCCCCCCATAACAGATTGACCAATAAACTCTGCATGCTGTTTGTACTAAATGCCTTTGCCTAGTGCAGTGGGACTTTAAAGCAGACTGACCTGTCCATTGTTCAGCAGTTATTTATGTCTGCCTGTCCAGCAGTGAAATGTACCTGACAAATGCTTGTGGATGTTTTCTCTTCAATATAGCAAATTTTGTCTTGAACTTGCAGATATTGGCTCTCTCTGTTATCATGCTGCTCTTTGAGGCAGGAATGTCCTCATCCTCCTCAGGCTTGGAGAATCAGATCTTCCAATACATTGATCTTCATCAAAATGAATTTATTCAGGTAAGAGCTACACATATTGTCAAATAGCTACAATGCAGAAGTGAAGTAATAAAGACCAACAATGTGTGTTCATGAGACCATTTCTTTTCTCTTCTAAGAGGAAAATAGTGAGCAGGCTTCCACAAGGCCTCAGATGCAGTGGAAATGCCACATTTCACTATGCGGCAGGGGTAGGCAAGGGAAATTCTATGGTGGCGACGCTGCACTCTTCTTGTGTTCCATGTAGCAGAGATCGTTGGTAGCTTTGCGCACAGTGTACCAGGCAAGATGGGAATATGGATGGACTGTGGTCATCACCACTAGCTCCATGCAGATTATGCAAATCCATACTAAGTCAAAACCTTGCATAAAGGGGAGAAGCAGGCTACGTATGCTGCTGCTTCCCTCACTTTGCCATGCAGACATGCCAGTTCTGCACCGATTACTGGATTGGGGATGGGCTCCGGATTCTTTTCCTCAGTCCTGTGATGTTTCTGTGCATTTTTGTGAGTGCAAAGCTTGTTCGTTTGCCAGGATTTAGCCTTTCAAGCGATTTAAAAAAAAAAAGTGGGATCAATTTGCTTTGGGGAAAAAGGAAGAACAGAGGAATGGGTCAGACATGATTAGTTAATGTCAAATTATGAACACTTCATGTTGTTACAATGAGTACATGCTATTGAGTAATTCTAACAGTGGGCATGTCAGAAACTAGATGAGGATTGTCTAGACTGTACACAATTCATGCAAAATACAATTACCCAGTTCAAAGTGAATTTAGATGGACAGCCTTAATACTACTCCGGTCTCTCTACATTCTCCTAGACAGGGATTTAGATCCCATGATGACAGTTAGCTGAGAATTACCTCAGATGGATAGAAGACCGAAAGATAGACCATTCCTCCCATGAAAAATCTCTCTAGAGCACCCTATCTTTAAGGAATCCATTGAGGCTCATTTTGTTTGCTCTGATACTATACCCCCTCCCCCCCGCAAGGTGTACTGTACGTGTGAAAAGGGTGCTGCCTGAAGGACAAGTAGAAAGGTAATCAGAACTGTTGGGGTCCCCTGATGGAATCAAGAAGGTTGTTTCAATGAAGCTCTGTAAAAATGGATGAGGGAATCAGATTTAGATCACTCTGACTTTAGCAGCAGAGCTGACACTTTAACAAGAGAGAGAGTGATCCAGTGTCCTGACAATTCTTTGCCAGATAGAACAGGCAAAGAGGCTACAGCAACAGCATGGCCATGACAGAGCTGAAATTAAAACAGCTTCAAATCTGATGTGTTTTGAGTTCAAAGCGCAAACAACAGTGCAGATCTGGTTTTCAGTACCCCACTGGTTCATTTAATTATATTCCTGGCTTCCTTTGCAGACCCTTAAGGAATGGGTAGCAGTGGAGAGTGATTCTATTCAACCGGGGCTAAGACAAGAAGTAATACGAATGGTGGAATTAACAGCAGACAGGCTTCGAGCTTTGGGAGCCACTGTTGAGTTAGTGAAGTTGGGCTCCCACAAGGTACCTATTTATCATTGCCATATTTTAAAATACTCTGATCTGTACTTTAACGGTGTGTTCTAATGTAATGTATGGATAATTCTCATTGGTAGGAAGGAGTGAGACACCCATTGTCACATGGATACAGAGGCATTCTCACTTCTAAGCATAGGATCAAAACATTAGGCCAGGAAGTAAGGTGGTTTCTTATATTTGGACCCAGCAGAGAAGGAGATACAGACAGAGAAGAGCTCATTTAAGCACATCTCTAGCTGCCTTGGAAACCTTTATTGTTCTTGCAACAAAACTGAAACCAACTCAAAAGTGAGACTTTACTCTGGGGAGAGGAGAGTGCTCAAACATTTAAAGGGACAGGACAACACATTCCTACACCTTACATTAAAAAAACTTCCCAAACATATATGTACCTTATCATTTACATAGACCCAAAGACTTTAAGGCCAGATGGGATCATCAGGGATCATTTAGTCTGACCTTCTGCACATTGCAGGCCACAAAATCTCAGCCACCTACTCCTGTAATAGACCCCTCACCTCTGGCTGAGTTACTGAAGTCCTCAAAACATGATTTAAAGACTTCAAGTTACAGAGACCACCATTTACACTACTTTAAACCTGCAAGTGGCCCATGCCCCAGGCAGTAGAGGAATACGAGACCCCTCCTCTCCCCCCAGGATGTTTGCCAATCTGACCCAGGGAAAAGTCCTTCCCTACCCCAAATAGGTGATCAGTTAGACCCTGAGCATGTGACCCTGGGCAAGACCCAGCAGCCAGACACCTGGGAACGAATTCTCTGTAATAACTCAAGAGCCCTCCCCATCTAGTATCCCATCTCCGTCCATTGGAGACATTTGCTACTAGCAGTCGCAGATTGGCTACTGCCATTGTAGGTAGTCCCATCATACCATCCCCTCCATAAACTTATCAAGCCCATTCTTGAAGCCAGATAGGTTATTTGCCCCTACTGCTCCTCTTGGAAGGCTGTTCCAGAACTTCACTTCTCTGTTGGTTAGTAACCTTTGCCTAATTTCAAGCCTAAACTTGTTGATGGCCAGTTTATATCCATTTGTTCTTGTGCCAGCATTGATGCTTAACTTAAATAACTCTTTCCCCTCCCTGGTATTTATCCCTCTGATATAATTGTGCTCTATAAATATATCTCCCCTCAACCTTTGTTTGGTTAGGCTAAACAAGCCAAGCTCTTTGAGTCTCCTTTCATAAGGTAGACTTTCCATTCCTTTGATCATCCTAGTGGCTCTTCTCTGCACCTGTTCAGTTTGAATTAATCTTTCTTAAACATGGGAGACCAAAACTGTATTCCAGATGAGGTTTCACCAGTGCTTTGTATAATGCTATTAACACTTCCTTGTCTCTACTAGAAATAAGTCGCCTGATGCATTCTAGGACTGTATTAACCTTTTTCACAGCCGCATTATGTTGGCGGCTCATAGAAATCCTGTAATCAACCAATACACCCAGGTCTTTCTCCTCCTCTGTCACTTCCAATTGATAAGTCCCCAGCTTATAGCAAAAATTCGTGTTAGTCCCTAAGTGCATGGCCTTGTACTTTGCACTATTAAATTTCACCTATTTTTATTACTCCAATTTTCAAGGTCATCCAGATCTTCTTATATGATATTCTGATCCTACTCCATATTGGCAATACCTCCTAAGTTTGTGACAGCTGCAAATTTTATTAACACATTCCCCCTTTTTGCGCCAAGGTCATTAATAAAAATGTTAAATAAGATAGGACCCAAGACTGATCCCTCTGGAACCCACTAGTAACCTCCCTCCAGCCTGACTGAAAGGTTCACCTTTCAGTATGATCTGTTGTAGTCTCCCCTTTTACCAGTTCCTTATCCAACTTTTATTTCTCATATTAATTCCCATCTTCTCCAATTTCCCATGTGGAACTATATCAAATGCCTTACTGACATCCAGGTAGATTAGATCTACTGCATTTCCTTTGTCTAAAAAATCAGTTATCTTCTCAAAGAAGATCAGGATGGTCTGGCATGATCTACCTTTTGTAAAACTATGTTGTGTTTTATCCCAATTACCATTTACCTCTATGTCCTTAACTACGTTCTCTTTCAAAATTTGTTCTGATACCTTGCATACAATTGAGTCCTATAGTTTCCCAGATCACATTTTCCCCCTTTCTTAAACATAGGTACTATATTAGCAATTCTCCAGTCATAGGGAACAACCCCG